CAAATCGATCGAATGTAAAGGATAATTTGTCCAGCCCTAGTCTTTTGTGATCTGGATTGATAGAATGAAATCAACTCTTCTACTTCTTCTGTTCTTTGAATAATATTTCTTGAATAATGATGTTTTAGGTTTTGCACATATATTAAAAAAATCTAATAATTGTTAACTCAATTTGTCATTTTACAATACAATTAAATCATATTAAGACCAATGAAATTTATCTTGTAAAATAACATATTAACTAAATATAAAACATTAATTTTTTTAAAAACAAAAATAAAATCCAAAGCATCATTTTTTAAAAAATTGCATGTTAGAGAAAATATAATACCGTGAAGAAGTTGAAAGTTCAGTGGACAAATCTAAGCGGGACAATCGATACGTGATTATTTTAAGCTTATAAAAACGACGTGCCCACTAGTTCTAGTATTATTGATGTTTCAACTAATTCTTATATTATTGATGTTTCAGCTTTAATATTAGTAATGCATATAAATATAACAAGTAGTGTTGATATCAGTATAATATAGAGGAACAACGATATTGATCCATTATCACACGAAACAAAAATTCAATTTCCCAAAACATTAGTTCTCAATTCTCTCCATCTCTAATATTCGCAGCAGCCATGGATACGGTGCTTTTAGAAGAAACACACGGTCATAGTTTATCCGACGCTTACAACCGTGATGGTTTGAAATGCGATGCTTGCGACAGATCGTCGTCTCATGATGGCAAATATTGCAAAACATGCAAGTTTACCATTCATGAGAAATGTCGTTTTGTGTTCTATATGGAAGAGCCAGTGGAGCATCCTTCACATGTTGGACATGGTCTTGAACTTCTCACAACTGGGGCTCCTGTTCACACCCATCCGAAATGCCATCTTTGCGGTAAAGACACTAAGCGCATTCTTTATCATTGTTCCACTTGTAAACTCAATTTGGACATCGATTGCATGCTTCCTACCATGTGTGCTCAAGCCCATCTGAATATGCCGTGGCACCCTCATCCTCTACTCCTACTTTTTTTTCATACCTATATCTCTTGCGATGTTTGTGGTTATGCATCATACGCACTAGAAGGTTACTTTTGTCCTCGTTGTAGGTTGGCGGTTCATAAGAAATGCGTCTCGGTATTTGACTCTCCAGAGATCACTCATCCTTCTCATGTCAGACACCCTCTTAAGCTTCTCACCGATGGAGCTCCTAGCTACACTGACCTGAAATGCCATCTATGTGGAGACGACACTGAGAGCTTACTTTATCATTGTGATATTTGCAAGTTCAACTTGGATCTTTATTGTGCGATTAGAGAATCCCCACCAGTTACTCTTTCAAATCTGAAGGTCCATGAGCATACACTCACACTCATGCCAAAATTGATCTCTTTCGTTTGTGATGCTTGCGGGACCGAAGGCAAGGCTGCTCCTTATGTCTGTCTTCAGTGCGATTCTATGATCTTCCACCAAGATTGTGCTCATTTGCCACGTGTCATTCACGTCAATCACCATGATCACCGCGTTTCTTACAAGTATCCTATTGGCCATGGAGAGTGGAAATGTGGAGTTTGTTGGAAAGAGATTGATTGGTCATATGGGGCTTATTCTTGTTCCTCTTGTCCTAATTATGCAATCCATTCAAGGTGTGCAACAAGGGAGGACGTGTGGGATGAGATAGAGCTTGATGGAGTACCTGAAGAAGTTGAAGATATCGAGCCATTCAAGATGAATGATGACAACACAATAACTCATGTCGCTCATGATGAACATAAGCTCAGCTTCAACAAAAACGATACTGCTTCTGAGGAAAGTATCTTGTGTGGAGCATGTATTCGTCCCATCGGTTCTGACACATTCTACAAGTGTTCTGATTGCAGTTTCAATCTCCACGAAGCGTGTGCTAAGTTTCTTCTGAAGAAACGGCATTTTCTGAGCTCGGAACTTCTCACTCTTGACTTCTATACACGAAATAACTCCGTAAAATGCAATGCTTGCCTGCAGTGTTGTTGCGATGAAGGGTTCATGTACAGCGATGACAACAATAATAGGTTTGACTTGATATGCAGTTCGATTACTGTTCCTTTTACCCATGGAAGTCATCATCATCCTTTATTCTACCACAAATTAGATGAATATGGTGAACCGAAGACATGCCGAAGCTGCAATATGGATACGGGAGGAGCCCTCATAGGTTGCATCGAATGCGACTTCTTTCTGGACTTCCGTTGCGCCACTCTACCATTAACTGTAAGACTTCGAAGGTATGACGATCATCCACTCACTCTTTGTTATGGTGAAACTGGTCTAAAGGCAAGGGGCAAATATTGGTGTGATATTTGTGAAAGAGAAACAAATCCAGAGACTTGGTTCTACACTTGTGAACATTGCGGGGTCACTTTGCATGTTTTATGTGTACTTGGGGATCTCAGGTACGCTAAACCAGGAGGAACAATCGATGGAAACGACGCTGAATTGCTGCCTAACGATAGATCTTCACGACCACTTTGCCACAATTGTCACTGCCGTTGCCCAGGTCCCTTCATTCTTAAGGAGATACGCAACCTATTCCTTTGTTCTTTGTTTTGCTTCACAATGATCCGACGTTGGAGTCCCTATTGGGCTAAACTCAGATGCCCTCCATGGGCATTAGAACTTGAAGATGTGTTTCATTCTTAAGTTTGAAATTCATCTATTATATTTTTGTTTTTGTTTTTTTGGGATTGTTTTTGAATGCTTGAATTGGTTGTTGTTGTGACTATTCACTAAATAATAAACTTGATGGCCTATGCAGCAAAGGTGTTTCTGCGGATGTTAGCCTAAAATTCACTCTTTTTTTTATATTATATATCAAGTTCAATTGTAGCTTTAACCATGTTCTTATATAATCTAGCAAAAGTTAAATCTGATATATTAAAGGGAGATTTACTAAAATAGTCTTAATAAATGGTTTTTTTGACAATTTTGATGTTCTTCTTTCATAATTACTCAAAACAATTTTCAAAGATTTTTAAAACCGGTTTTGTCTTTATTTTTTTTTTATAATAAAAAACGTATTTACGAAACTGTCATTAATGAGTTTTCCGCCAGAAGCAAATAAGTCTACCGCTCACG